GCTGAAAGAAACACCACTAAGAAGTCCAATAAGATGCCTACGGCACTAGACTGCTAACCAGAAGGCTGGCGGTTCAAACCCACCAGCCAATCCTTGCAAGGAAGATGGGGCAATCGACTTCCGTAGTGATACTGCCTCGGAAACCCAAGGAGGGGTTGGTATGAGTCGGGTCCGACTCGAGGGCACATAACAACAACAACAACAACAACAAAATTAGCTGAGCTATTCTTCCTTTGGAACAATAACTACTTAAGAATACACAATTTTTTGAAAAGAAGAAAAGAACGGTTCTTGCTCTAATAATAAAACATATCATAAAACTACAGTAGTTAAAACAGCTTGGTGCTGGCAGAGAATTAAACAGATCAAGTGACTACTAATGTGAAGCCTGACAAGGGTGGTGATTTTTATTCTGCTTAATGATATATCCCAGGCCCCTAAAACAGGGGCTGACATGAAGTAAGTGTTCAGTATTTACTGAATGAATGAAAAAATCCAAGCACAGATCCATTGCCGTGTAGTAAATTACTTAGTATGGCTTTTCTACCCATAAGTCATTGTAAACTCAGTGGTGGAATGAGCAACTGAGGAGCTCCTGATTGTAAATGTTATCCATCTGGGTTATTTGCTGGGCATGGCACAACGCAATGTAATGGGAGGCTCACTCTCAGGTGCTTAGAATTCTGTTGTTATGATTGGTTGGTTTGGCCACTCTATCAAGCTCAAGAGGAGGCCTCCTAGAGGCAGAACTCTCTCTGACTGCTGGCTGAGGAAGACATGCGGCTGAAACAGACACGTGCTGCTGGGAAAGAGATGCAAGAGACACACATTGCTGAGACACAGAGGGACATGCACTGCTGGGGGAGAGACTGTGAGAGACTTGGCTGGGAGACGGTGGGCTGGGAGAGAGACTGAGCGTTTTTCTTCCTGAACTTGAATTGTAGCCTGGTGCTTTCCCAATAACTCCATAATCTGCGAGTTCTGTGTAGCCACTGTAGCAAATTATCGAACTCAGGAGAGAGGTGGTAGTGTTTTGGGAGGAACGGTTGGACAGAGGGCTGGAGGGAAGCAGCACGTCTGGCCTTGCAGGAATAGGCCTTGGGCTATTGATCCTGATCCTGTCTTCCTCTTGTGGGATTAGAGGAGGTCAGAACATGTGGCCTCCTTGCCCTTTTTGCATCCATGTTCACATGGGAACTAGATGGCATGTCAAGTGAGTGAAGAAAGGATAGATTACTCAATAAGTGGTTTAGAGACAATTAGCTAATTCATACAGAAAAATAAAACTCAGACCCCCATATCATATACCATTTTCCAAAATGACCAGATTAAAGTCCTAGGACATATAAAACAAAAAACTGTAAAAGTACTGAACAATACACACACACACACACACACACATATATTTATAAAACCATGTTTATGACTTGGTACATAATTGGCAGAATCTTTTAAAATAAAACACAAAAAGCCAAAGTAATAATAATAAAAAAGAAATGCTATTTGATTAATTAAAATGAAAACTTTCTACTAGACAAGAGAACAGAAATAAGGTTAAAACACAAGTAACGCATACTAAATACTACTGAATTATATACTTTTCACGTATAAAGAGTGAATTTTATGGTACATTAATTACATCTCATAAAACAAACCTAACTTAAAAAAAAAAGCAACAGACTGGAAAACAATATCTGCATTTACAAAGGACTAGTATCCACATTATACAAAGAACTCCTACTAAATAAAAATGATAATGAACCCAATAGAGAAATATGCAAAGAATATGAATAGGTATTTCACAGGAGAGAAAACTCAAGCAAAGATAATCAACCTTATGAGTAAGCAGGGAAAGGCAAATTGAAACAACAAACACAGTTTTTACCCACTGGTTGGGGTTAAAAGATAATACTGAATGTTGACCAGTGTTGTGAGAGAAATAGGAACTCTCAAATTCAGTTGCAGGAAAGAGAAAATTGGTACAGCCTTCTTTTTAGGAGTAATTTGGAAACTCCTATTTCAATTAAAAATGTGCTTACTTAAGATCCAACAATCCACTTCTAGCTACTTTCCTTAGAGCTCTGTTGGGAATGTATATAAGGACGTATATCCATGCTCACTGAATACCACTGTAAACTCAAACCAAACTCACTGCCGTCCAGTTGAATCCAACTCATAGCAACCCCTTCTTGGGTTTCCGAGGTGGTATCTCTATGGAAGTAGACTCCCCAGTCTTCCTTCCGAGAAGTGGCTGGTGGGTTTGAACCACCAGCCTTCTGGTTAGCAGTCAAATGCCTTAGGCACTATGCCACCAGAGCTCCCAAGTACCACTAGTAATTGTGAAAAAGTGGAGGCAACTGCCTATGCCAAATAACCTGTGAAATAACCACACCATGGACGACATCACGGACTGCTACACCGCAGCAAACAGGAATGGGGGGTTCTATGTAGACTGGCAGGAACAATCTCCCAGATCACTGCTGAGTGGAAGCAGCAAACTATAATAGTGACATCACAGTAAGATAAGGTCACATAAACCTATCCCCTGAATAATGCCAGTATAAATCACAATAGGGTATACTACTCATATAGGGGTTACTAGGTACCAGATACAGTTCTGAGTATTTTCCACGTATCAACTCATGGAGTCCTCATAAGCCTGTACGATAGATGCTACTAGCATCATCCCTGTTTTACAGGTGAGGGCACTGTGTCACGGGAGGTTAAATAAATTGCCCAAGGACATGTAGATAGGAAGTGCTGGAGCCAAGACTGAACACATGCAGCCCAGTCCCAGAGTTGTGTTCTTAACCATGACTATCTGGATTTCCTAAGAGTACACACCTATCTGCTGGTAAGAAACCCACTGCCATTGAGTCAATTCTGACTCATAGCAACTCTATAGGACAGAATAGAACTGCCTCATAGGGTTCCCAAGGCTATAAATCTTTACAGAAGCACACTGGCTTCTCTTTCTCCCATGGAGTGGCTGGTGGGTTTGAACTGCCAATCTTTTGGTTAGCAGCCCAATGCTTTAACTACAGCATCACCAGAGCTCCTTATCTACTGGTAATGGCCCAGTAAAAAAGGGCTGGAAGGACAGACTCCAAATGATAAAATTCAAAAGGGATGCTATACTTAACTATAAGGCTTTAATTTTCCATGGAAAATGCGTTCATGTGTTACGCATATAATTAAAAATTAATGAAAACAGCAAGAATGTAGACCAATGACAGCATGTGGAGGGAGAGTCTTTCCTGGCCTTGTGGGCCTGAGGAGGCCCTACAGAGCCTCCACTCATCCCCACTGCTGGCCTCTTGTCTGCCCACTCTGCTGGGGCTCTCTCATACCGTCTGCTGTGTACATGGGTTACTTTAGGAACTAGGGGAGCTCCCCCTGTTAACCCAGCCTCCATCAAGAGGGCATAGGCCTGGGTCTGACCCTGAGGGGGCTAAAGGTGATCTTGGAGCTAGGCTGTGCCCAGGAGTAGGTGGGACAGCCTTTTGGAACACAATCCTCCATGGTCCAGCTTATTGTTCCAGCCAGGGCTCACACAGTAACAGGGTCCTTATATGTAGCAGGCTATTAGCAAATAGGAATCTTAGGAAAATCACCCTAGTAGATGTCAGAGGGCCCAGACTCTGCCAGTTCTAGGCTGAATGAAGACCAACAACCCATAGTCCCCTGGCTATCCCAGTATGAATGCACTAGGACTACTCCTACGTCTGGGACAGGCCTAACACCCCTGCCAAGCTGGTAAGAGGGGGCTTGGCAATCCTTCCATATCACTCCAGATCTAGGTGAAGAGGAAGTGGTCACTCAAGAGCAACTCAACAGAGGCCAGGACTCGCCATACCTCTTGCCACCCCAGCCCAGCCTTCTGGGAAATATACTGCCTGCCTTTCATTCATAGAACATTTGTCAGTAACCACCAGGCAGACTGGACATGCCTCCTTCCTGGATAGAACCCCTAGAGGAGTTAGCACTAGGAGTGTGGTGACCCTAAATCCTGGAGGCTCGATGGAGGGAAATTAGGTGAATGCTCAAGCTCAGCCTACTTATGAGCCTGCCAGCCTTCCCTCTGAGGGAGTCCTCCACCCTCCTCTCCTTCCTCTATTTCAGGCCATGCTAAGAATAGTCTGCTTTAAATACCTATCTCCCTCATTAGATCTGCTCACAGGATGCCTGAAAATACCTTTCTAGAAGCCCTGGTGAGTAGCAGCCACTCAGGGGATCCAATTCACATTTTCCCCCAAAGACCTTGTGGCTTTCTGAAACTTCTGATAGCAGCAGGCTGATCTCTGCCTCCTCCTTAGACACATGCTTCTGAGTCCAGCCTACATCTGCCATCCTGACCCTGCCATTCCCTTATGCCCATCACTTATGGTATAAAACTTCAATGCCTGAGCTGGATATGCAAGGCAGGGCATGGCTCAGCCTAACACACTCTGTTCTTCAAACAGAACATGTCCTGAGTGCTGGAACATACCACACAAGGCCCAAAATTCATGCCACTGACACTCTTCTCTTGTGTAGCTGTATCATGGAAAAGGTCCCCTCCTGCCCCCACTTAACCTGTTAGCACCTAATAGTGCTCCTTGGAGGGGTCTGGCCCTGGGGAGCAGGTGGCTGGGACCTTTGCTCACAGGGCTCCAATCTCCCCTACCAACAACACTGGTGTTCCTCATAGCTGACTACCATTACTCTGTGCCATGTGCTGTAGTAAGTACTGTTCATGCAATGTCTCATCACACCCTCTCATGCACTCATTTCTAATCACTCTATGTGGGCACTTTGATCTCAGCACAGAGCACATGAGCATGAAATGAAGGTGAGTTCATCCCTACTTGCCCTGCCGAGGTCCAGTGGGTGTTAGGACCACCTGTCTTATTCTTCCTTCAGTTCCTGCCCTCTTGCAGAGTCAGCACTGGTATGGCCACCTGGCCCCTGGAAAAGACAGCACTGGGCAGCTGTGGCAGGCGGGCAGGTGGGGTACTCACTTGTTGAAGAGGTTCAGTCCAATGCGATAGTGTCTCTTGCGGATGACATCATTGCTGAAGGCAGGTGAGTCCCAGCTATTGCGGGTCTCTTTGTGGTAGGTCTGCTTACTGAGTGTCTGTTCCCGCAAGCTGTCACGGGACGAAGACTCAGAACTGCAGTTGATGGTGTCATTGGAATTGGACGTGCTGTTGATACTGTCATTGTCCCCATCCGAGTAGTCTGACTCAGACTTGCTCTGCCTATTGGCTGAGCCATTGATGGCCAGGTGGCTGTCAATGGGCCTGGGGGGCCGGGGCCGCAGTTCTGGCTCCTCCCGGGGCAAGCCCTTGGGGGGGCCGCTGTGGGGGCCATGCTTGGGGCTGCCCTCCTGCCCACCAAGACTGCGCTCATAGGCACTTTGCCTCTTGAGTGAGCCGCGGTCCGAGCGGTCACTGAGGTCCACAGAACTGTCGCTAGGTGGCTCAATGGTTAACAGGGGGAGATGCTCCCCTCGCAGCCGCTGCTCTGGCCGCTCCAGGGAAGGCGTGCTCCGGCAGCTTGTGTCCGTGTCCCCCTTGTCGTCCTTGTGACCCAGGGCCCAGTAGTCCTGCGATGAACCCCCAGCCCGTAACCGCAGGTCTGACTCAGTGCTGGATGGCCGGTCCCCCACCTGAGAGAGGGGCAGAGGTGGCGATAGCTCTTCTTCATCAATGTACAGGGTGACGTCACTGTATGAAGCAGTCATCTCATCTAGCTTGCGGTTGTCCATGCCGTGCAGGGTCGGCTTCAGCTCGGTGTCCCGGGCCCGAGCGGAGTCAGGGGCTGGCATCTCCTCGGCATGCAGGCTACGGCAATTGAGGGCATCGTCAATGGACTCTGCCAACGATTTTACTTGCCGGGAGAAGGCATCCTCCAGCTCTGTGATGGCATCTGCAAAGTCACTGGAGGTGGCTGGTGACTTGATGGTGGCTGGCTTGCCAAGGTCACCACATTCAGATGGAACCAGGGCACCCAACTGGGAGCCATCGTTGGTCATTGAGACTTGCTTCCCCTCGAAGTAGGAGCTATGCACTTTCTCAGGTCCCTCAAAGGAGAACTGCATCCTCATGTTGGATAGCACAATGCGGCGTGACATGCGGTTCTCTGACATGGAGCTGCGGAGGCGCTCGAAATTCTTGTTCATCTGGTACTGGCGGAACGCTGTCTGGATGGTGCGGGCCGCATGGCGGGTCACAAGGCGCCCCCCATACTTTCGTTCTAGCATCTCCACCTGGTGGGAGAAGGAGAAGAGAATGAGGGCAGTACTGTGCCTGGTAAGGTGCACACAGCATCTACAAACACTTATTCTTGGTCCCTGACCCCATGGTGATGCCATCTGGGGAACTTTCAGCATGTCCCAAAGAAACATTGGCTCCAAGGACAAATAAGACTGAGAAACACCGTGTTAAAGTATTAAAAAGTACAATCAGTCCTCGTTATTTGTGGATTCTGTATTTGTGAATTCCCCTGTTGCCGAAAAATATTTGCAGTGCTTTTGTGGTCATCACAGGTATGTGTATACACATAGCAGTGAAAACGTTCCAGCTGAGGTCAAACAAGGCTGATTTGGTATTCACTAATCTATTATTTGGGAGCTGTGGTAGCATGATGCCTAAGGCACGTGACTGCTAACCAGAAGGGTGGTGGTTCAAACCCCGTAGCCGTTCCTCGGAAGGAAGGTTGGGCAATCTACTTCTATAGTGATACCACCTCGGCAAACCAAGGAGGGGTCGCTATGAGTTGGGTCCGACTCGACAGCACACAACAACAACAACAATCTGTTATTTATAGGATTTTATGGAACGTAAGTACCACAAATTATGACAATTGATTGCATCTTCCCTGCAAAATTTCCCACATCTTTGGCCACAGAAACCCCTGGGCATGGAGAACCTTGTGGTATACAGTTTAATGGAAAATACTGTGGAGATGTTGGAAGAGGGAGGCCAGCCCCTTCAGTGGTAAAGAGGCTGAGAATTATGCAGGGTAAGAGACTTGCCAAAGATTTCAGTAAGTTCTTGGGACACTGAGGACTGACTGTAGGCTTCCACACTTCTTTACTTTCTATTGCATATGTACTGCAGCCCTTGGTGGGCCAGGGAAGAGGGGGAGGGAAGCACCAGTAACTTCAGGGAGGCCTGAGAGGAACACATCACTAAGAAGCAGACTTCAGAGCCAGATGCTGGGGCTCTAATGCTGGCTTGGCCCCTTGTGATGTGTGTGACCCTAGGTAAGCCCCAGGACCTTACACTTCTTCAGTCTCCTCATCTGTAAAATAGGGATAACACTGGCAGGCCGGATGCAAGGCACTTAGCATGTGCCAAACACAGTGCAAACCAGGATGAAAGACCCTTAACTGCTTTCCTAGAAGGCATTTACAGTTTGTAAAACCCCTCAACCCTCTACCGTATAGATGGGTAAGCTGAGGCTCAGAGAACAGACCCAGCACACACACATACACAGAGGACTCTATACTCTGGAGGCAGCTCTCCGTCTCCTACCATAAGATGATGGCCTTCTCTGTGAGTCTGGAGAAGTGGTAGAAAGCTAGCATTCTGAGAAGGCAGAGCTGCCACCAGATGAGGCAGAGAATGGGCAAACTCTCACGCTCTGTCTCCTAGGGTGATATGTGGGCCCTGGAGTTCTGAGGCCACCAAGACCAAAGGCAGCCCAAAGGGTGAACTTATGCCTTGTTCCTGAATGAAAACCAAATACACTTCTGCAGTTGGTGCCAGCTCTGAGAAAGTCCAAGAAAAGCAAGGTAAGACATTGGCCTCTCCACCAAGCTACACCTCTCTGGCCACAGGGCAGAGCAGGCACCTGAAGTGTGCAACACCAAGTGGAGAGAAAGGAGTTGGATCCTCAAGAGTCTAGATCAAATTTGCCTACTCTGTGCCAAGTATCACACCAAATCTGGTGGTAGAGAGACAGGATTCTTGCCCTCAAGAAGCTAAGAGTTTGTCAGGGAGAACAGAAAGACACACAGACACAACTAAATAAAAGCTAAATAGCTGTTTAGCAAAATAAAAATTGGACCTGAGTCAGGAGGAGAGAGTAACTTGGAAAGAGCAGGGCCTGAGCCTCTCACTTCATCAGGTAGCTGGGTAAGTGACTTCATGTTTCTGTTCATCTCTCTGGAAAGCGAGTTGGTGTGTCACTTGCATATGGGCAAGTGTTCCTAGCTCTGAGAGGCTAACTCATTTCAGGGGCACCAGTAAAATACAGGCCTGGTGAGTGCAGGCAGGAGCTCTTAACACCCCCCAAAAACGAATGCCTCAGCTCTTTTGTATTCCACAAGAGTGACAACATAGGCTGGGCAGAGCACTTCTTTGTAGAAGAGAATAGTAGAGGGTGGGGCTTCAAAATGACTTTTCAAAGACCAGCCAAGCCCAGAGTCAGCCAGTGTGGTTCTGTTTTTTCCTCACCTTGAAATTATGGATCACCATCCAAAGAGATGACCTCACTTCCACATCTGTAAGCAGAAAGCTTCTATTTTTGGGGGTTGCCAGTAAAGTTCTTAGAGCCCACAGAGCTGATAAGGGGCCCCAGGCCGAGCTCTGGTAAGCACTTTCTTGTCATTCTTTTCTGTCTGCAAAGGCCTGTGGTCCTGAGCTCCTCAAGCTAATGCTGGGTGGGGATATCACAAAGCCAGGGCCATAAGCTTCAGGCCAAAGATCACTCCCGGGTCTTTCTCCCCAGCTAGCTTTGGATCTTGCAAACTAGGCAATGACCCTATTAGCCTGAGACTCGCTCTCCAAGTCTGTGAATTGGTGTGATGGTAGGGGAGGAGGGCTTCCAGCAGGCAGAAGTGGGCTCTGTGTTTACCCAGCACAGCTGCTCTCAGACCCTTCTGTCCCTCTTCTCCTGAAAGGATACATACTGATGCTGATTGGAGCTTGCTCTTACTTATCCCCAAACTCACTGTGGTTGTTATTTTAGGGCTGGCACTCACCCAAGGCCCAGTTTAAAACTTTATGGAGAACCAGAGGAAGGAATTAAATTACCATCTGCTCACTTGCTTTGTGTGTTCAAGGACTATATCCTCACTTAATGCCCACAACAACTTCTCATCTCAAAGGAGGAAACTATCCCCACATCACAGGTGAGGATAGGGTGGCCTAAAGAGGTGAAGGGACTTGCATATCAAACCCGCTCGGCAAGTCTTTCTTACCCGGTCACCTCATTGGCCCTTTAAAGGAGTACTTCTAAATGGTGAGGACAAGGAACTGAAGGCCACAGGTCAGAAGGAAAATGCATGTGACTTCCTGTGTGGCTCCTTTCACTAAAATGTGATTTCGCAGAATCAAGTACTCTGGGTTTATCTGGCAATTCTCATGCAATCTATTTTTACTTCCACTTGGACTTCCAGGAGCTTAGGGGCCCTGAATATCACCTGTATCCTCTCCCTCTCTACTACCCCTTCCCTGGCTCTCATACAAGCCAAGTTCACTCTCACCTCAGGGCCTTTGTACCCGCTTACCTTTCCCTGGAGCACCCGTTCCTCGAGCACGCCTTCTAATGTCATCTTAAAGAAGTCTTCCTGATCACCCTCATCCAATGTCGTCACCTCTTACAATCACTCTATTTCTTTCCCCTGTGGAGTTGGTATCATTTTTTGGAATTACATCATTTCCTTACTGCTAACCTGTTCATGGTGTGTCTGCTGCTACATAATGTCAGTTTAAGGGAGCAGGGGCCTCATCCAGTTCACTGCTGACTCCCCAGGATCCAGCTCAGGGCTTGGCACATGGAGAGCACTCAGCTAATGTGCACAGAATGAAATGAACAGCACAGCCACATTAAGCCTATGTTAAGCATGTAATCATCTCCACAGGTCTCTATTTAAGTCTACCTTTCTGATTCTTATTGTAGTGGTCCTGCTGCAGATGTCTTTTACTATAAACTGTTGTCATCCACTCTGTATCTGAGTACAACTGATAAATGCAAGAGGGGTTGTTCTCTTCCGTCATTGGCCTGCCATGAGTCCAAGTGCCATGGGTTTTGACCCCTTGCTGGCTCCAGTCAGAGCCAAGGCAGGCAGGGCTGTCCAAAGTTGAAGGACAGCACCATGAGCAGAGTATAGATGCCTTGTCAGGAGAGAGATCCAACCCAGGCAGCCCTCCTACTCATCACCAAAGGAAGTAGAGGGATATACCAGGCCCAGACCTCTGCTCCTTGAAAGACGAAGAAAAGATCAGGACAGGCCTGGTAAAGGGTAAATGTGGGAAGGAACAAGGGGTAAAGAGACTTCTGCAGAATTAGGTCTGGGCTTCTGTTGGCAAAACTGCTGGGGCTGCATGGGGCAGAGGTGGCCACCAGCATTTATGAGGAGACTGCCCAGAGCTAAGGAAAATCTGACAAATAAGTGGGGCCCTGGACACTTCCAGAGTTGCTTCCTGGCAGCTCAGCAGGGCCTTAGCTGCAGCCTGAACTCTCTGCTAGAGAGCCTTATACAGTATGAGACACTGCTAAGTGACCTGCTCACTCACCCATTTACTCATGCACAAGTCCATCTTCTAACTCACAGTAATGTACCTACGAGGTATCTGACTACGAGGGATGCAGAGTAAGGTGTCTCTGCCTCCTCGGGGACTTTTCGCACCTTCTGCCACCCCTACCCCCAATCCTAGCACAGCAGGGACTCTCCTCTGTCTCCTCAACTCTTGATCCTTCCTCGAGCCTGCCCAAACACCCTGGCCATGCACCCTCCTAGCTCTACCACACAGGGGAGGCCCTGGGGGAAGAAGGTGGGACCTAGAAGCACCAGCTGGGCCCTGAGTAGCCTTCATTGAAGCTAATGCCCATGTAAACATGGAGTTGTATGGTCGTTATATTTGTGTGTCAACTTGGCTAGGCCTGGTTGAATGGCTGCACAGCTGCTGGTAGTTATTCTCCATGATGAGCTGGCAATCAACTCCATGGTGGGATCTACCACAAGCAGCTGAGTAGCTGCTGTGGGTATGTGGTCTGCTTCACATATCTAAGGAACAGCTTTGGGAATGGTCTGTAGCTTATGGCACCTTGACCCCTACCTGTAGCCGTGTCGTAGTTCAGCAGCCTGCTATGCTCTGCCAACCTTGGGACTTACAATGGATTTGAATTAATGGCCTGCCATGTGATTTGGTAATATCAAGACTGTGCCTAGTTACTTGTAAATCTTGGGCTTGGCAGCCTCAGCAGCCAGCAGCTGTCTGAGTGAAGAAAAGCCTCTAGCTTCAGTGGGCCGGGAGCTGGAGGCAGAACTGAAGCCCAAGGCTGAGGGGCTTTCCACCCAGTCTCTAGAGCCTGGCACTTTGAACTTGGACTCAAAGCCTCCAAACTGTAAGAATAAACTCCTGTTTGTTAAAGCCATCCCGTCTGTGGTATATTCCTGTCAGAGTGGCACTAAGTAACCAGAACAAGTTGTAAACCTGAGGGCATATAGTAAGCAACTTCATCACCTCTAGTGCTGGGGCCAGGCTTGGCTTTTTAAAGCCTGTGCTATTTATGCTGGAAATTGACCTCCTTCCCTCCCTCTCACCCAGCTCCCTTACTCAGACTTGCATTCTACCCAAGGTTCAGTTGTCAGCTGGGACCAAACAACCTCCACGGCCATATGACTTGGGTAACTTGTGGCATTCAGATGCCCATTTCAAGGGCTCTGAGAACCAGTGCAGAGGCAAAGATTTCATTTGAGAGGACCTTTGACAAAATGCCCAGGAAGAAGTGTCAAAACTCTAGTGTATTTCAACTGGGTGGGCCAAGGCAAAATGCTCCTGGAAGGAGCCAGAGGTAGGGCTTGGCTGAGGTGAAGGCCGAATTCTTAGCAAATACATCTAACTCCAGTCCAGTCTGTCAGAAACGGTGAAAACTCACAGGCATCTGAGAGCTGCCTGGGCTGGCAGTGGACCAGGCCTGGCTCTGTACATGTCTGTACACGACTCCCTAGGAGGACACATGCAAGAACAGAGCTGCCTTACCTGTCCCTGTATGGCCAAGGAGCTGGGCCCTGCCTACCTGTTTATCTTGCAGATCCGAGGAGAGCTCATAGCTCTCAGAGAGTGACCGCGAGCGCTTGATTGCCTCTTCCTCGGCCTGCTTGCGCAGGATGGAGGTCGAGTGCTGCAGCTTGGGCCTCCGTGTGCGCTGCTGCTGTCCTGATGGCCCGGAGTACAGCCCATAGGCCCCTAGTGAAGTGTGCTCGTAGTGGTCAGGGCTCAGGCTGGAGCCAGGCACCAAGGGGCCCTGGTGGTAGGCTGAGGGGCTGTCCAGTGATGTGCCAGTCTCGCTGCTAGGTGCCTCGCCCTCAACACTGTAGAGGAGAGAGAGGCAGAAACTGTGAGCAGGAAACTAGAGTCCAGGGTCCAGAGGGTGTGTATGGTAGGAGGGGGCAACCATCATGAGGCAGCACCTTCCAGGAGGGTTGGACAACTCCAACCTCCCTGCTTCTGCCCTCACGCTCCCTCAACTGATACCCACATGCAGGTAGGTACAGGGATCTAGTACCTTTGCAATGTTCCTGCCTCACTCAGACTCACATCTCTCTGTAGAACGAATCACCTTTTAATATCAACCTATCTTACTTATTTTGCTTATTTTCAGTCTCATATATAAGACTATCAGCTCCCCAAAGATAAGGCCTATTTTGGGGTATGTGTGTGGGTGATTTAGGTGAAAGTTTACAGAAGAAATTCATTTTCCATACAGCAGTTCATACACATTTTGTTTCATGACACTGATTGCAATCCCCATAATGTAACAGCTCTCTTCCTACTTCCTCCCTGTAGTTAGCTCTTCCTTGTGTCCTTTCCTATGCATTCCTGCTCCCTGAGCTATCTCCCTGTGCAAATACTGTCCTTCTAATCTCCCATGATTGATTGTTCTAAGGAGTGTACCTGCCTGGTATAAACATTTACTTTATATACCTGCCTATTATTTGGTTGGAAGCCATGAGAGTGAGTTTAATTCCAGACCCAAAGGGTGACTAGGGGCTGTCATCTTGGGGGTTTCACTAGTCTCTATCAAACCAGTAAACCTGCTATTTTTTATGATTTTGAGTTTTGTTCCACATTTCTCTCCCACTCCATGCAAGATCTCCTGCACTGATCCCTTTCTGAGTGGTTGACAGTGGTAGCTGGGTACCATCTAGTTCTTCTGGTCTCATGGTTATACAGGCTGAGATCTGAATGGTTCACTAGTTCCTTGGGCTAATTGTTTTCATGTGTCTTTGGTTTTCTTTATTCTTCCTTGCTCCAAACAAGGAGAGACCAATGGTTGCATCTAGATCGCCACTTGTAAGCTTTTAATACCCCAGTCGTTACTTACCAAAGTAGGATGCAGAACAGTGTTTCTGTGTAGTATGTTATGCCATTTGAGCTTGATGTCTCCTGCAGCCATGGTCCTGAGCCCAGAGGTAAAATAACTCACTCCCTCAGGATGGTTGGCTGTGGCTAAGAAGTTATCATAACTTTGCCCCGTTAGTTCTATTTACATGGACATTGTTACAGCAATACAACTATGTATGTAGAAATATCATCTGCCAACTTTATATACAGTCATTGGTATATTCTCTTGCACCTAGACATAACTGATCATTTGAAAGTCCTGCCCCCTGCCCCCAGTGGAAGAACCAGGCCTGGCAATCAGCTTCTGTAAAGATTATAGACTTTCACTGACTCAAGTCCATAGATTATGGAGTCTCTCCAATAGAACGCATAAACAAGCACATGCCTCATTTTTATAGACACTGGTTTCCACTCCAGACTGTTTTTCAGTGTAGGACAAAAGGGAAGGGAGGAATTCATGTAATGAGCTTCTAACACAAAATGTGGTAGCATCCATCACCAGTCATCCTGTGGTTTGTCTGTCCCTGTAGAATTTTGCTCAGCCTCAGGGCTGGAGGGGACTTTAAAGACCCTTTGATAACTGAGGTCTGAGCAGAGGTCATTAGAAGGCACAAAGCAGATAGAGAAGGGAAGGCAGGCCCCTCTTGGATTTGCCTCCTTCATCAATAGTCCCCAACTTCAGAACCAAGTGAGAACACCTCACATCTAGCAGTCTGGACCAACTTGTCCACCTCCAAATTCAGCCTTGCTTCCATTCTTGCTACTTGTCATCAGGCCAAGGTCAACCTGTTCACCAACTCTTGGGGAACCCCCTCTCCAGAGAAACCTGGAGTTGGGGGATAGGGAAGGGAGACGGAGCAGAAGAGGTCAGGACAATGTCAGCTGACCAAGGCACAACAGAAAGCAGCCTGCCCTTTGATTCTAATTCTACCCTGAGCTGGGCTGAGGCTACAAATCTCAGTACTGGCTTTCCAGCTTATGGTTTAAGAATCGAATAGCACTTCCGTTCCTACCACTGGCTCTGGCCTCTGGGGACAAGCAGTGGTTCTCCTGTGGTGAACAATGTCCAATCTCATTCACCAGGGGTGAAGGTGTGACAAAGGTCCTTCTTTGGAGAAGAGATTTGGTTCTTTGCTTGTCTCTGATGCAAACTAGCTATGGATCAGGGTGGGTCACCTCCCATGTCAAGGTCTCAGTTCCGTAAAACAAGAGGGTTAAACTAGATGTCATCAAAGTGTACAGGAATACCACCCTTCAGAAGAATCATCTAGCTCCCTCCCCTACACTCCTCGCCTACCCACCCAGCAGCTTCCTTTCACACATTTGTGAAGAGGAAGGAAGCCAGTGAGGCTAGAAGAGAATGAGCATGGCAAAAGGAGCCAAGATGAGGTCAGACCAGGTGTATGTGTGGTTGGGGGCATAGGTAGATCTTATGTTTCTCCCATTCTTTTGACGAAGCTTTGGACAGTGCCTCACCACAAAGAGTCAGTGCCTCGATGCATGTCTGCTGTACGAAAGGCTGATTGACTCCTTGTGGTGGAGTTCCAGGCAACCCTCAACTTACAGATGAGCTGGAGGAAAGCCCTACCCCCAGCTGTAAGATCCCACATTCTTGCTCTTTGTTCTACCCCAATGCTGTTCCCTGCCCCTCTGTCCAAGTCTCTCTACAGCCTGTTAGCACACCACAAGAAGTGTTTCCAAACACACATCCCACAAAGTGGAAATGTTTTAGTCAGGGGCCGAATCTGTTTGTCCAAGCAAAAGGCTGACAGGAAACAAGATCTCGTCCTTGAAGAGATGTAGCCAGGGCTACATTTACAAGAAGAGAATTTAAAACAGGCTTGTAACCCTGAGTTTGTAGAAACGTGGTGACTGATGAGCAGTTTCCCTTGAGGCCCCTGAACAAGCGCTGAGCATTCTGCTTCTGAGCTGTCAGGTGGCTTGGCCAGGAGGTGGTAGCTAGGACCCTCACCCAAATGACTTAACAAGTCCAGGATAAGTGAACAATTTCTACCTCATGTCTGATCCTCCACCATGCCCTTTCTTAACTGGCTGTAAAACAAATGTGAGTAGGGGTGTGGGCTGGGCTGCTATGAATCTAAGGGGCATCCTTATTCCTAGTCAGCATAGTGTGCAGCCAAGGGAAGAGGAGGACGTGGTGTCCATGGAACCCCAGGATTGGGCCTTGCTCTGTAGTAGAGAAGGTTATAGCATTCTGGAGGCCCAAATGGTTGGGGTCATAAGCAGGACATTGCAGGGGGGCATTACCCACTGGTGTGGGCGCCTTTAGGCACAAGGAGAGGGGCATTCGCAGAGGGATATAGCAGAGGATGAGGTGATTGTGGGAAGGTAGGAACTCTCTGGATTAGTGCCAGCCTGATTCTTGCCCTTGTGCCAGCAGGTTCCAGAGCATTGCTGGCACAGAGCATGCTTGAGAGAGAGCTCAGCCTGCCCTCAAGGCTATTCTCAAGGCAGGGATGTGGTCTGACAGCCAACCCACAGCCTTCCCCTTCACCCATGAAGGCAATTCTGGCTTTCTCTCTGCTCACTTCCCATCCTGAACAGCTCTGCCTTCAGGAATCTGCCCACTCCTTAGCAGCAGCCTGCTCAGTCATCATCACCTCACCTTTCTCACTGGCCCCCTTCCCTGACCTCAGACCCCCGGCTCTGTTGTCTCTACTACCCCAGCAGTCAGAGGGGTTCTGTTAAAACACAGACAGACCAAGTGCCTTCTCTGCTCCCCATTACACTTGGAAAGGAAGACACTGTCTGCACAAAGTCCTTTAAGGCTTCACCTGGTCTGACTTTATCTTGGCTCCTCCTCTTGCTCATTCTCTTCCAGCTTCACTGGCATGCTTCCTCTTCTCAAACGTGTCAGGCATGCTCCTATCTCCGGGCCTCTGCACTGGCTGCTCCCCCAGAGACCTGCACAGACCATGTCCCCATCTCCTTCAACTCCTTACTCAATCTAAAGAAGGCCCACCCTGATGACCCAATTTAAAAATCATACCTCCTATATTTGTAATCCCTTACTGTGCTTTATTTTTTTCCCACCACCTTGCCACATACTATTTATTTATATTGTGATTTGGGTGAAGATTTACAGAGCAAATTCATTCTCCATACAGCAGTTCACATATACTTTGTCTCATGTCATTGACCACAGTTTACCACAATGCAACAGCTCCCCTCCCACTTCCTCCCCATAGTTACC